AGTCCGTGTTGGAGGTGAGGAGTCTAAGGCGCAGGGCAGCGAGGGGTTTGCCTAAAATAAGTTTGGCACAGCTGGGTCTCTTGTTTGCTCGCACTCTTCCCAGCATGCCCCTCCTCATGTCCTGCCACCCTGCAGCTATAGGGTAGCCTGCCTGTCTGCCCCAGGACCCTCTCCCTGTGCTTGGACACCTGGCCCAGCCCATGGGTTAACCCTGTTAACAGGGAGCAGGGGCCCCACAGGCAGAGGACGGGTCTTTCCTGTCAAGGCCAGACTGCCCCCTGCTCCAGCCAGGCGGGCTGAGGGGCCACGGCTTCCTCCTGCATTTGAAAGCTCAGCCCTGTAAGAGTAGCAGAGGGGGAGGGGAAAGGGAGGGCTCAACCTCCAGTGCCCTCCCCCCTCACTGACAGCTGTAATCTGCTTGGGAAAATCTCTTTTTTTTCCGCACAGGAAAAAATATTAGTTGTCCCGATAACAAGGAAAACAAAATCCAGCGCAGGGCATCAGAGACTTCCTGAAGCGGGAAACAATGTCCAGGGAGCTCAGTGGAGAAGCCCGAGCCGGGAGGCTGAGGGGGAGCAGAGAGAGGACACTGGTCCAGGCCTATCTGGCCCGTGGGGGAGGGGAATGACAGATCGAGGAACTTGGAAAAAAAGATTCCCCCCCCCCAAAGCCTTGAAGTCCGGGCTGTTAAGCTATATCCGGGAAATGATTCAAGACCATCACACATCCCTGAACGGAGCAGGCCCCTTCAGCTCAGGTGCTCTGAGTCCACCCCTCTTCTTCCCTCCCGGTCTCCCAGCTTGTTCTCCTGGGTGCTGTTCCCCATAGGCACCCCTCCCCCAGGCTTCTGGCCTTGTCTGCCCACAGCTGCTTCCCTGGGTAACTTTCCACTGAGGGTTAGGGGGTGAGAAAGGGGAGGGCTTCTCCAAAGGCCCCACCTCCAGGCCTAGGAGACTCTGGTGCCCATTTCCCTCTCTGCCCGGGACACTTGTGCTATTTGCTCCAATGGGTGTGGCCTCGAGGGGCAGGTGAGGGCCTGGGGTTTAAAGCAGAGTCCTGAGCTCCCAACGAGCAGTAGTTCTCAACCGTGGCTGCACACTGGGTCACATAGGGAGCTTTCAGAAAATACCAGTGCCTCCCAGGCCTCATCCCAGACCAGTTCTATCAGAATCTCTAGGGAGTCATCAAGTGATTCTTATGTGTAGTCAAGGCTGGCAATCCCTGCTCTATGACCCTGTGACCCTTTGGTCACTTGCTGGCTGGTCCCTCAGTTCCAGGTTGGACCCCTCAGAAATGACCACCTAGCTGGTGGCCTCAGAGGTGCCCGCAGAGTTCTCTGCCCAGCTGGAGGCCAGCTGCTTAACCCAATAGCAGGTTCTGGGTTACCTGGCCCCTTCCCACGGCTCCTTCTCCTCCCAGGGCAATGATGCCTGGGGCCTTTGTTCTCAGCCAACAGGAGTGTGACCAGAAACCTACTCATAGTCAGTCCCATTCACTGGCCATAGGCTGGCCACCAAATACACTTCACCT